GTGGGTTTAACTCACATAAAATTTTTTATTAGTTTCTCTCTTGTTTCATACACCAATACAAAAAAACCAAACAACAACAACGAAGAAATAAACAGTATTCAATACAAGCTGACATATATGTGTATTTATGTAACACATATATAGATATTTATATATATGTATATGTAGATATTCATACATATAGATACTTATTTAGAATGGGGGACTTAAATTTTATGGGGCGTTATTGGACTCTGGTTGGATTCATGTTATTTAGTGCCTGTATTATTTGCTGCTTAGTTCAAGTAATATTAATTTCTTCTTCTTCTTCATTGYATTGGTTATAGCATAACAATTCAACGGTGATTCGAGTTGAATTTGCAAGGAGACGCGTATACCAGTCGATTTGCATATACATACATATATATTGTAATTTAGAGCTAATATAGTAGATCTATATACATAYATATATATACATATATATATATTGTATATAGAGCGGGTGTATAGTACAAATAAGGAATTGCAACTCTCGGGGCTCACAAGAATTGCAAAATCGTTCGAATGCAATTTTGTTGTTGCTTATATAATAAATATATGTGTATATGCATGTGTGTCTTTTTGTGTTAATTTAATCCTTATACATATATATATGTATGTATATATATTGGATTTCTCTTGGCTTTAACTTTTTTACAGTAAACAGTTTTTCTTTTCTGATTATTTAAAATTCTCTTGTTTTTCTTCTTTTTTTCTCGCTAGATTGATATTTAAAAAAATTTTTTTTCAATATTTGACCATAAATATTTATTCTGTATATGGAGTATATTTATTTAATTGCATTGTTTTTTCGGCTTTGTTTGTGTTTCAACTTGAGTTTCTGTTGACACTGAAATAGTTCGTAAGTCTGGTTAAGTTAACAAACAACATACAATTCTCAACACACCCATACACTGGCTCACAGCTGTATGTGTACGCACTTACGATACAAATACGCTATAGAGACTAGGTACACAAATAGAATATATATCTGTATTAGTTTTCCAGCTGGTTTTTAAAGGGAAATTTGTAATGCTATTGCTTGGCACATTCCGCATGCTCTTTAACAATGCTYTAAATATTTCTTCTTCTTCTTCGCTTTTTAGCTGAGTTTGAAAAATATTTGTGGCTTATAACAACGTTAATAAATATATGTATGTAACATGAATTCTGCTAACACTTCATTTAATTCTTTAAATCTTTTTACCACGTTGTAGAGGAATATAAATACTTTATGTAACTTTTCATATTTTTGTTCATGTAATATATATTTTAGTTATTATATTTTTGTTTTTGTTTTTGTTTTTTTCTGATATTTTCGTATTGGAATAAGTTCTTTAAAAATATGTCAATCGCAATTTCGTTTCGGTTTAACAACTTTGCTGAGCAAACTGTTCATGGATCGTTAAAAAATACATGATTTTTTCATTATCATTATCATTTCCACTTCACGTTTTCTCTCATCTCATCTCTCATCATTTCTCTTTTGTGCTTTAAAAATTAATAATATTTTTTGATTAGCATTACGTGTATATAAGCATTTTCGTCGTTCTTATTCACTTTTTTGTTATTTTTTGTTTTTATTGTACATTGAGAATACGCAAATATTTGCCATTTGTCGAATAAAATTTTTTTATTTCCCCATCGTGCTAAAAATTTGTCCTAAAACTGCTTAAAAAACGCTCCTACAGTACCTGCAGCCGCCCTCGACGGCGGAGAGTTGCAGAGTCTCCTTCGTCAGAGCGCTGGCCTCTGATTCCTTAGCTAAGCCTCGCACGTCCCTTTAACCCCTAAGCTAACAAGTAGAAAAAATGGCCTGGGTCGAAAAGTTCTGGTAGTTCGCAAAGATGCGAATACTTACGTCTTATACACATACACATATAATATACACACACTAGATGTACGTATATATGTACATATTAAAAAAAAAAATACATTTCCCGCCTGGAGCGGATCCGCCTGGCCCCAGCTTACAGTTCGGCAAAAATGTTCTCCCTGAAGTCGAGCTCCGGGTGGGCTGAATGCGTAGAGCCGTGCCCATAGTCGCGCGACTTCATAGAGCTGCGTGCGGAGCTGGAACTGAAGCTGGTGTTCCTCGGACTGCTGCGCCGCATGCGTCCCTCCAGTCCGGCCATCTTGTTCAGCGGCTGGGTGGGGTCCAGCTCGCAGAAGGCGCCCGCAATCAGATCCGTGCCGTTCAGCGAATTGAAGCTGTCGCGCTTGGAGCTGCGCGAGGTGCCGCCGCCCGGCCCGTGATGGGAGCCGGCGCCCAAGCTTTTGCGGCTCAGGCGGCGCGTATACTGATACTGATAGGCGGGCGGGGGCGGAGCGGGCTGCGGGCCTTGCACAATGGCTGAGCGCGGCAAGTTGTTGTTGCCGCCGGGTGTGTAGCTGTCGTAAAAGTCCTGCGGCACCTCCTCCTCATCCAGCGGCGGCTGCGACTCCGGCTGCGGCTGCGGTGGTGGCTGCTGTAGATGACCCAGTCGCTGCTGCGCCAGGTGGAGATGCTGCTGCTGCTCCTGYAGATTGGAGCACAGGCTGTACTCCGTGGGCTGGCTGCTGCTCGAGATCGACATGCTGAGCGGATCACTGCCGGGCATCACCAGAGCCAGCCCGGTCTTGTCGTAGCCATAGCTGGAGTCTCGCTTGGGCTTCGGCGAGCGTTGCGCGTACAGCTTCTCAATGTCCGGCAGCTGGCGGCCGACGCCGACGCCGCCGCCGGACAGACGGATCTTGTCGTCCTGCTGCTCGCGCTGCATCATTTCCTGTATGTCCATGCTGCGCTCTCGCTCCAGCAGATCGATGATCTCCAGGTCGCGCTCCAGCGTGCTCGACGAGAAGGTGCTGCTGCACTCGCTGAACGACACATCCTTATTCCGCAGCCCGCCGCCGACGTTGGGCCAGCGCTGCGGCGGATGCATCATGCTGCTCACCACGGAGCTCTCCTCGCCATCGCCATAGTTACTCGTGCTGCTGTCGTCCATCAGGGCGCTGTTGTTGCCATTGCAGTACGTGGAGGCGGTCAGATTGGACACTGAGTTGTTCGACACCGACATGTACTCCACGCCCAGCTTCTGCCGTGGCGCGCCGCCTGTGGAGGCGGCCTTCATGGTGCGGCTGCTGTTGTTGCTGCTGGTGCTCGCCGGCTGCTTGCGCGCCAATCCAGTGGAAGCATGCCCATCGGAGATGATGTTGATTTTGACGTCGTGCTTCTTGCCGCGCATGTTCTTGCTAAGATTGTTCACCATGCCCGCATCTCCAGCCCCGCGACCACCCAAAACGCCGCGCTGTCGATCCCGTTCCCGTTCCCGTTCCCGTTCCCGGTCTCTGTCCCGATCCCGATCCCTATCCCGGTCCTTATCCCGTTCCTTGTCGCGCTCCTTGTCGCGCTCCTTGATGCCAGACTGACCCTGTCTGTAGGGTGCACCGCTATACCGATCCGACGCGCCCAAGCCATGGCCCTGGCTGCGCTCATGGCGCCCGGACACGGCGTGCCCCTTGGTCGGATGCTTCTGCGAATCAGTCGCCGTCTGGCTCTGGCCCTTGGCCGCAATGCTCGTCGTATTGCTGTGCTCGTCCTTCTCAATCGAGTCCTCATGGGAGCCCGCATTGCTGCGACGCTGCGACTTGGACGCCCGCTTGGCCGACAGGCGAAAATAGCCGCGGAGGCGCTCCTGTTCATCTCTGCCGGAAGAGAGTCGAAGCAGAGCAAATGAGCTTGTCAATAAATAAGCACTCAGTGAAACCGAACTGGCTTAGGTGGAGTGAGAGGTGATTCAACGGAAGTGCCACCACTCATGCATGACGAGGCAAATGGCGAGGCTCGAATTGCAATCGCCGTACTCACCTGGGCAATATCTGCGAGGCGTAGATGCACGGGAATATGACCGTGGGCAAGAATGCGACCCAGACAAACATCAAGTAGGTGAAGTCGAAGTGCTTCTGATTCTCGTAGGTTTCCTCGAGCGAGAGCCGTGCGAACCGCAGTATCATCAGGGGGCACAGGCAGACCACCTGGGTGGCGGCCATGCTGCCAAAGTTGCGCTGCTTGCGCTTCTCCCGGCAGACGTCCATTTCGGCGCTGTAGAGATCGTAGGAGCGGCTGCTGCTGCCGTGGCCATTGCTCAGCCCGGCCACGCCTCCGCCGCTGTGCGCACGCGGCTCCGACGAAGCGGACGAGTTCCTGACGAAGAAGTAGAGGAAATTGAAGAAGAAGAGGAAGATAATGATGAGGCGATAGGTGAGCAAGTTGTTGAGGAAATCAAAGTCATTAAACTGCCATCGGATTGAAATTGAGCTCATTAGCAATGGAGAGGAGCCCGGAGCGAACGCAGCTGGCCCTGGCCTCTTCTGGTAACCATGGCCACGCCCCGGCCCACCTTTTACCACAGCGCCTGAAGTACTCCAGCTCAATCCGTTCGAAAAATTAATCAGTGCAATTAGCAAATGTAACCCAAATCGAAGCCCAAACGACCAAATGAATAATGAACCCACATTTAGTTTTTTTTTTTTCTGTAATTTTTTTTTTTTTTTGGACTTCACCCGGGCACAGCAGGCGCTTAATATTTCAATTTAATGGCGCACGCCTCAGGTCGGCGCCGAAGGTATTATTTGTCCCTTTTGGAAAATTTCATAAACATTCTAAATATACCATTCGATGCCAATAAATCCAATTATAATCAACTGAGCTAGAAATAATAATTATTTTATTATTATTAATACTGTTGTTATTTGATATGGCTCTCTGCTGGCGCCCGCATGTCCTTGACGAAAATATAGTATATTGTGTAATTTAACTCTGTTCACTTAACAAAGTCTGTCTATCCCGCTCTCACTCTCTCTCTCTCTCTCTCTCTCTTTCTCTTTCTATTCGTCTGTCAGTGCTTTACAGCAAAATTGATTAATGACTTACAGCAAAACAATCTAGATTAACTACCTTTTCTCCAACTATGCAACACTGGGCCGTTTAGTGTTGAGAATTTTTCGTAATTAGAAAATAAGGGGACATTCTCATCCTGAACTGCACTTACCTCTGTCGCATGCGTAGATCGACACGGTGCTCGTACATCATGACGGCGAAGGGCCCATCCGGCGGACGCAGCTCCTGGGAGGTGCGTATATAGAGATAGGACAAGAGCACGGCCGGACCACAGTACCTGCAATGCGAACGCTCGAATATACATATTTACGCGGCTAAATCTTTGAGGTCTCGGCACATACATAATTAGAAACAGTCCCCGCGTATATTCCTGCATGTCATCCATCAAGTTGACCACGCACAGTCCAATGCCCGACAGCTGGGGTATGTACGCCTGCAAGCAGAGGATAAGAATAAAGTCAAACACAATCCCCGAATTCACGACCCACATCTCGCTCGATACGAAAAGCAAATTGTTTTAAAAGGTCGCTGTGTGGCATTTGGGCTCAGTGAAACTGACTAAAGCATTATCGATAGCAAATGCCCGAGCAAAGCCAACAAATGCTCAACTCAAAGATACCCCTTGCTTAAGTGCTTAATCACCAATCAAGCACACTTTAGCCCGCTGAATGGGAAAACATTTAGTTCCATGACGAACGAATGGGAGGTCGCTAAACCAACAGACAGAGACTCCTACCAACCAGAGAGCGAGGGACAGTAATCTCGTTTGTACTCATGCAGTCGGTTGGATAGTCACCTGCTATCGATTCCAGGTACACACGAAAAAAACAAAGCGACAAAAAATGGATAATTGAATGGAATTTCCGCTAAAGTTGAGCACACACGAAAGTTGAATTCATTGTGTCCCTGGCCGTGGCCCGGGCACATGCCTGTGCCAGGGCAGCAGACAGGTATTGGTACTGATACAACAGGCCTGTGCCACGAACACACACACACACACACACACACACACCCATTCCCCCACTGGCCGTGACCGTGACAGATGCCATGGCATGCTATCTATGCGTGTCCCCTTCTGCCGGCTGAGTTGGCCCGACCCACTCGTAATTGTATTGTTAACACCCACCACATATTGCGCCGCGCAGCACGCCGGGCGGCGTCGCGTCGTGCCACCGGCTTGCGGCATGCCACCACGGCGGCTTTGTCGAGGCATTTCGCGTAATTGTAATTACACATACACATGCAAGTATTTTCAGTTGGCAGCTGCAGGGGCTCGGCAGCACACACAAATAAAGTACAAACAACAAAAAATGAGAAAAAAAGGAAATGAATTTATGGATATTAAGTTATTATCCAAAAGGGCCGAGCCAGCGCTTGCTGTAGTTGTACTCCCATAAATTAAGCCGAGAATTGATGACATGAATGTTATCAAAAGTTGTGCAAGCTAACCAAAACCGCACAGCACTGGATATGAAATGCTGAGCAACATCCTCTGCAATCCTTAACAGCGCTCTGCCAAGGACTCCCTGTCCAGTCAAGTTTAAAATGCTTGAATAAGTTGGAGCTTTGGCCTATTCGAGCTGCTTTGCTAGTTTACGTAATTATTTGCTCAGGAATGAGGACCAATGCTTCATTTCGGAAATGACTCTTCAAGGACTCTTCGACAGATCCTTGTTAACATTTGCTGTACAATTTTTATGCTTAACAATTTGGGCACTTTGATCAACTTTTAATATTTTTTTTTTTTACATATGCTAAGCACACACTGGGCACAACACACAGTCACACACACACACAAACACACACAATGTCACTAAAAGGCACTTGTAAATGATTTTGCATGAGCAACTATTAAAAAGTTTTTGCAGCTCCATCAACAGCCCAAGAGTTGCCCCAAACAAGAATAAATACGTACACAGACACACACACACACAGACACAAACACATATACATATACATATGTCATGTAACTTAATCTGGCAGAGTTCGCGATGTGGGCGTGGCTGGCTAAAAAAGTTGTGTCAAAGTTTTAAAGAGAAAATTACAGAGCGGCGTCAGCTATGCCAGCAATATGCATAAGAAAGATGGCCAAAACTTTTCGACTCGACTCGGGTCCGAAAATGTGACAACGAAAAAAAAAAACAAGTAAGAACGTTGCAGTCGGGCGTTACCGACTGCGGAATACTCATTCACATCCCATCAACAATTTAGTAGTTAAGTTTCGTTCTAATACTGTAGAATATACAGGTTTTTCCGATTTGCCACGCCCCAACTGGGCGTAGACACCTCATTTTTGGTCAGTTTTTAGAAAGAGATAACGTTACCCTAACTGCAAAGTTTGAATGCTTACCCTAAAAAAATGTGAAAATTACAGGGTATTTTTCGATATGCCACGCCCCTAAAGAGGCGTAAAAATTATTTTTGGGGAATCGATAGAGGAGGCTACCAGTAACTCAACTATCCAAATTTGAAGCTTCTAGCTATTATACTTTAGGAGATATAAACTTTTGCGGTTTGCCACGCCCCCTGTGGGCGGACATATATCCGACAAAACTTTTTGGTCTTGGGTGATCAGTCCGAGTATATATACAAAATTTGAGGTCTCTGCCATCAATAGTGTCCAAAATATAGGAGAATTTAAAAAATCACTATATCTTCAGGTCCGATTTGCCACGCCCCCAACGGGCGTAGACTTATAATTTATCTTCAGACTTTATAGAATCATACCATTAGCTGACGTGCAAAATTTCAGCATTCTAGGTTTACAACTTTAGGAGATACAGTTTTATCCGATTTGCCACGCCCCCAATGGGCGTAGATATATCCGCCATAGCTCGTGATCTTGGGTGGTCAACGCGGACCTACATACCAAGTTTCAGCTTTCTAGCTCTTCAACAAACATGATTTCTGGTATATCGGAAAATGCATTTTCCGATTTGCCACGCCCCTAGTGGGCGGATCGGGAAAATTTTAACACTTTATAAATCGGAGATATACACGAGTATGTGTTCCAAATTTCAAGTCTCTAGCTTCAATAGCGCCGAAATAGATTGCGTTCATACGGACAGACGGACAGACGGAC